TGTACCCAGGGCTTTTTTTGTAGAAAAAGCCCAGCAGGAACTCAGTAGCATAATAAGCCACACCCCAAAGCAGAAAATCATTCGCATATTAGGCCACACCCCTGACAGCACCGCTCATTGGCCTATTAGGCCACACCCCCACGTTACCAGAAGTGTGGTCATCCAGCCACACCCACCTTTTGCTTCTTATTCTGTTTACCTTGTTGTCAAAACGGTCCAGGGCTTTTTTTTGTAGCAGGAACTCCTTTGCATGTTAGGCCACACACCCCTAATGTAGCCAATCCTTATGAGTTCCTGCTGTTGGGTGTGGCCTATTATGCTAGTGAGTTTCTGCTGGGCGTGGCCAACTCGGGAGCGTTCCTGCCCAAAAATAGCCCTGAGGATGGTGAAAACCAAAGGCTGACTGTGAAGCGCTCCAAGGGGATCTCTACAAACTGGGTGAGTGGGTGACAAAATGTGGCAAATGGGGGGGGGGGAATCCCCACACTGGGGGGGAAATCCCAACTTCAGGTATAGGCTACTGGGGTCTGAACTTGCTGAGACTGAGAGGGGAAAAGATGTCTGGGTCGTAGTGGGTAGCTCAATGGAAGTGTCAACCCAGTGTGCTGCAGCGGTGAAAAAGGCAAACTCTTCTGTTAGGGATAATTAGGAAAAGGAATGAGAATAAAAAGGCCAATACTGTAATGCCATGGTACAGATCTATAATGTGGTCTCCTTTGGAATACTGTGTACAGTTCTGGTCACCGTATCTCAAAAAGGACATTGCAGAGCTGGAACTGAAGGGCATTCTTCGCATTTAACCAGGCCTTTTTTGTAGAAAAAGCCCAGCAGGAACTCATTAGCATAATAGGCCACACCCAACAGCAGGAACTCATTAGCATATTAGGCCACACCCCTGACAGCACAACTCATTGGCATATTAGGCCGCACCCCCATGTTGCCAGAAGTGTGCTCATCCAGCCACACCCACCTTTTGTTTCTTATTCTGTTTACCCAGGGCTTTTCTGTAGCAGGAACTCCTTTGCAGGTTAGGCCACACACCCCTCATGTAGCCAATCCTAATGAGTTTCTGCTGTTGGGTGTGGCCTATTATGCTAATGAGTTCCTGCTGGGTGTGGCCAACTTGGAAGCCAGCCGGAACTCCGTTCCTGTGCGTTCCTGCCCAAAAATAGCCCTGCATTTAACGCCATATACAATGTTAGAAGATGAGCAAGTGAATGAGCCTGAGATGGTGTAGTTGATGTTGCTAGGTCCAATGATTGCGTTGTCTGGGTGTTTGCGGCAGCAAAGTTGGCATCTGCATTTATTGCAAGCTCTGGTACCAGTGTCCATGTTCAAATTAGATGTTGTATTATTGTGGGCGAGGAGCTGTTTGTGATTGGGGTGGTTGTCTGTGCACAAGAAAAGGTTTGTCCCCCAGTACTTGTGAAAGAGAACTGTCATTATCTAGCAGAGGTTGTAAGTCATTGATGATGTTTTGAGTTGAGAACTGCATGTACAGGACAAACAGGTCAAACCCTTCACCAAAGGATAAATGGACACAAATTTGACATCGAGAATCACAAAACTGAGAAACCTGTAGGAGAACACTTCAACCTTCCAGGACATTCAATGGAGGACCTCAAAGTAGCTGTTTTATTGCAAAGGAAATTCAGAAACAAACTAGAATAGGAGATTGCTGAGTTACAAGTTATTACAACGCTCAGGACAATGGAACCCCCAGGGCTTAACAGAGATATTGGTTTCTTATCTCACTACACATGCTAACGTCATTCATTTCTTGCATCTTTTTGAAAACGCCTTTATTATGCTGTATTTGCTACTGTTCACGGGACTTATCAATTGCCTTCATCCAGTCTTAGCTATATTTACTGCTTAGTTACTTATGCATCTTGACTTTAATTGCCCTTTCCTGGCAACACCCTCCTCACCCTATATGTAATGGCTGGTGACATCTGTTTCAATATATCTGAAGAAGTGTGTGTGTGTGTGCGCACGAAAGTTTATACCCAGAATAAAACTTCATTAGTCTTAAAGGTGCCACTGGACTCATTCATTGTCTTAAGGGCAGGCATTCTGTCACTAATAATGACAAGAAACACAGGGCAGCTTTTGGGACCATGTCCTTTCCCCTGTTCCATAGAAGTTGTTGCCTCTGCCATCCATTGTCCTTCCTTCTTACTTCGCAACATTTTGATTCTGTCTGATCTAGTACAACAATAGTGTCCCTTGGAACCGGGCTGACAAAAGAAATCCACTGAAGAGCTGGGAGGTTTAACGGATATCAGTGAATCGACATCCCTATGTACACTGCTAGCTGAATAAATCTTGAGAGCCAACTGTGCAACCCTAGTCTTCAGGCATGCCAGAAGGGCCCATTGGGACACCATTCCGCAGAACTTTCTGTTCGAAAATACCCCAGCAACCGAACAGGAAGAAAGTCAATTTCCACACTCTGTTCTTTTCCCCATCCAACTCTGAGCACCTGATGCAATTCAGCTAGTGAGACCAAACAACTCCAGTACACTGCAGCTGGCTGGAAAATATCTTTGAAATAAAATATGTCATGTCTCCCCAAAAGGGGGAAATCGAAGGAAGGAAATCAGTGAAAATATTTATACATTCTTCCCTTTTCCAATTATATCTATCCTGGCAATTCTTTGGGGGGTATCGACAGACATAACATGCTAAGAGCAATGGGGGCAGGTTGAATGCTCCCTTGCTGTATACTGTATCAATGTTCCTCATATGTTTTTCTGTCATTGGGGTGGGGAACAGTTCTGCAAATTTTCAGTGGGATTCAGTCAGTGTGATCCTGGCAAAAGGGAGCTAAGGAAGGTGTCTATTGGCTAGCATCCATGTTATCATTAATCTGACTTTTGTCCCCTCTCCTATCTCCCGAAAAGATTTGCAACTATTATGTGAATGTTTGTGACTTGTTTTTCTCTTAAGAAGATGGAGGATGGATGTATATTCATGCGTCACTTTAAAAAAAATGAAAAAATAAGGTGGGCATGCCTTGCCTACAGTAATGGAGGGAATAGTACGTGGGGAACAGTGTTGCAGGGAAGTAAGCAATGCAAATGGGATGGACTGGGCACCAATCAGCTTTCAGCCTTCTTTGTCGATGAAATGAAACATGGCCCATCTTCAACTTTCTACAGGACAGGGGCGAATTCCGTGTTTAAAACACAAAATTGTCATTGGCACATTTATCTACTAGTACATTATTATTTTTATACCACCTATCCTCCAAGGAGCTCAGGGTGGCTTACACGGCTCTCCTATCCTGACCCCACTTTATCCTCACAACAACCCTGTGAGGTAGGTGAGAGTGAAAAAGTGTGCTCAGCCCAAGTTCACTCTGTGGGCTTCCTGGCAGAGTGAGGACTGCCGCCTGGATTTCCCATCTTGCAATGCGACACACCAAGCGCTGTGCTAGACTACACTGGTTCTAGTTTGGCCGCGACCTACTCTACGGAAGAGCTGGGTATGGAAGAGAGTAGGCCAGCACAGCAGATGCACTTATATTAATCACAGCTGGATGTTTTTGTGCAGCCCCGACTGAAATCAGAGAAGCAAAGAGATGCAACCATTTTTTTTTTCATTAGTTTCTCATTGGGAGCAGCTCAGAATAAATCCTGCGGCTTGATTCACAACGACATTGTGTTTTCAGAATCACTGTCCTGTACACACCAAACTTCAGCAGCTTAAACATCGATGCAAATGCTACCCGGAACGTTCCCTTCCTCATTACCAATGCTGGTTGTATATATAAACACGCACAATGGCCACAAGGGCTCAGTCACGTGGAAAGCAGCTAGGAGTACACGTTTTAACAAGAACGTGCATGCCATAAACACCACCCTCTTCTTCTTCCCTTCCTTAACGGCAGCCACAGACAGGGGGCGATTCTGCATCTAGCATTCGCTCCACATTTTCTCAACTGGGAGGAAAAAGTGCCGCTCGAAACCATACTCAAATACCTGGGGGGGGGAAGGCCTTACTGACTGCAAAGTCACCCCTGAACGGCCATAAATCTACGCAGAAGGTACCATAAAACCCGATGATCAAAGAATATGAAAGCGGCATGGAGTGTGTGGGGGGGGGGGGTACCATAAAATCCGATGATCAAGGGAAGTGAAGGCAGCATGCAATGCAGAGGGGGATTTCTGCTCCAATGTGGGTTTCGTAAAACACGGGAGGGAAAAGCCAATGCAGAATCAGCCACTAGTGAAGACACACTTCCTGAAGCACGCCCAGCCCGATCAGTCCAGGGATATCATTTTCATTTTGTCTTAGTCCGGTCAGTGTGTATTGCCTGACCTTGTGATAGAGCCACATGTGTAAGTGGTACACAGAATTCAGGGCTGACTTTCCTTTGTATTAAAGCAGGCTTCTAGTCCTTAGAGTTCCGAAGACAGGCTTGGAAGCGAAGGAATTTCAGGAGGGAGAAACTGGCAAAAAGTCACTCCCCCCCACACACTAAAAATGGAATGACACCTTTGGATCCATGCCATTATTTTCTGAGCATCCAGTTACAAACAGCCCAGGGCACAGCAAAGAAACACACCAAAGAATCCGTAGCATCCTTTGACACTTACCAGTTTGTGCGTCAAATGGATGGTGATAAGAGGGGAACCTGACAGGTTTGGGGACAGAGTCGGTGGGGGCTCCACTTTCAGGGAAATCAGGTAGCTGGCTGCCGAAATCATGCAGTCTTTGCAGGAAGCAGCTTCTGGGATCCTGAGAAAACAAAACAAGCAGCCTGTTAGCCGCTAGTTATTTGTTTCGATTGCTAATTCACCCTCCCCCTGTCCTGAGAACTGACCAAGCTGCCTTTTACAGACTGAGCCACAGCACTGTTGCATCTGGGGCTGCTTTCACACACAAAGGATAATGCACTTCCAGTGCCCTTTAGCAAGACGTGATCCTGGTAGATTTGTGAATGGATCTCCCCAGCATTTTTTAAAAGGGAAATGTAAGGTCCAGATTTGAGCCACGGTGCAAAAAGAGGGGAGGCGTAACCGTTCTGCATTGTGCAGTTTCACTGCTCAAAACTGGTGCATCATCTATTTCAGGGGGTGTCAAACATGCGGCCCAGGGGCCGGATAAGGCCCCCGGAGGGCTTCCATCAGGTCCGCGGTGGAACTGAGCCATCTCCTGCTTCCAGTTCTGCTGCTGCTGCAGCATTATAGCTTGCTTCGCCAGACTCTTAATCACTCAGCCATTTCATGTTTTAACCGGGGTCCTAAATTCAGAACTCTGAGCATGAGATTTCTGTGGGGAATGTCAATAAATCAAAAGTAGGTTTGCAGCTTACAGAACTAACGTTTTAAGCATGTTTTTTATTTTAAGTAAAAAAAATCTTCGTGTTTGTGTCCTTTATACAGTTTATATCTCCGCTCCCTGGAATTACATTTTATGACACACATGGCCCGGCCCAACAAGGTCTCATTTATGTCAGATCCGGCCCTCATAACAAATGAGTTCGACACCCCTGCTCTATGTTGTTATCACTCTCCACCAGCAGGGGATGGGGGTATAGGGTTGCCAGATCCAGATTGGGGAACTCCTGGAAATTTGGGGGTGGAGCCTGGGGAAAATAGGGACTTCAGTGGGGTACGAGGCCATAGAGTCCGCCCTCCAAAGCATCCATTTGCTCCAGGGGAACTGATCTCTGTAGTCTAGAGATGAGCTGAAATTCCTGGGGATACCCATGTCCCACCTGGAGGCTGGCAGCCCTACCTCAAAAAGATGCCTGTCTCTTTTTCCTTCCACCGCCGAGGGTCATCATTCGGGATTAAATCCCCTCTTTCCTCCATTGGGGCCCCACATGGGTGCTATTACCCTATAAACAACTCTAGGGAGATGCTTCCACAGATCTCCCGATGGCATTATCTACTATGGCCCTAGCTGAGTATATCTTCCTGCCGCTGGCAACAACTCTCCAAAGCCTTCATCTATAAGGAGTCCTTGCCAGAGCCTTTTAGCGAGAGACGGAAGGGACTGAACTTGGGGGCCATTGGCTTTCAAAACAGGTGCTCTCTGCTGAGCTATGAGCATTAGGCAAATAGCAGCACCGTTATAAAACAACAAGAAAGAAAGCAGAGGCACCATAAAGCATACCAAACAAGAAAGTTTTAAGACTCTTCTTCGAAATACTCAGGGCTCTGGGCTGCAGTCCTACACGCAAATAGGCTGTTTAAATCCCAGTGGCTTCAACACCATTTATGCAGCGGCGCAGAGCACTCATATGTTTCTAAAATTTACACCCTGACAACAGACCCAATTAAGGGCTTAAGCCTTAACTCGCAGTTGAAACAACCGTGCCTTGCATTTAAGAACATAAGAACGTGAGGAGAATCCTTGCTGGATCAGACCCATGGTCCGTCTAGTCCAGCATCCCGTCTCACACAGTGGCCAGCCAGTTCCTCTGGAGGGCCAACAACAAGGCAGAGAGGCTGTGTCCTTCCCCTGATGTTGCCTCCTGGCTCTGGGACTGAGAGACTTCAGTCACCATGGCTAGTGTTACACTGCACAAAGCAATCCACAACATGGAACAGAATAAGGCAGTTTCTGTTCATGTGGAGAGAACTTTGTGTGTGCAGTGAAGCCCTGCAATGTTTTGAAGCAAGGCCACTGAGTTGCCTTTGAGGATCAACCAGCTGCTGGGTACCTCTAAAGCTAAAGTGTGCCATCAAGTCGCAACCGACTCATGACATTCCATCACATGGAGTTTGTAAGGCAAGAGAGGAGCAGAGGTGGTTTGCCATTGCCTGCCTCTACATACCAACCCAAGTCTTCCTTGGCAGTGTCCCATCCAAGTACCGACCCTTCTTACCTTCCAAGCTCTGGGGACATCAGGCTAGTCAGAGCTATTATGGCTACTTCTAAAGCAATTGCAAATTCAGTCTAGGAATTAAAACCAGGGCCCCGGTCACACGGGCCAGATAACGCGGGGGGGGAGGCGTGGCTGTTCGCCCCGGAGCAAAATAAAGCACTGTAGCCCAATCACACGGTCCCCCGAGTCTCCATGCTTTGGCTGTTAACTGGCGATCACACGGCGATGCTGCATTGTGGCAAAGAAGCAACGCAGCGTGATCACACAAGCATTTTGTGTTTGTGCGCATGCACTTATGAAAAACATCCGGTTTGCGACGGGATGTGGACGAGCGCCAGATGCCATGGGATACTAACACTCCCGCAATCAGACACCCGCCCGTGCCGCGCATTTTCCAGATACTAGTGCACTTTCCTTGGTACTTTTTAACTCCGCATCTTCGGCAGGATGCCACGGGTTGGCCACGGGTGTGCTACGCTTCCCAGATGTGGCGGTATGATCACGCCCCAAAAATCCGCCTGACATTCGTGCCTTTCACGTGGCGAATTCTCCATGTGACCGGGGCCCAGGTTTGTTTTGTAAGTTTAAGGAGTCAAAGCAGCTTAAGAACCATGCTCAGAACCGACAGGAGTTTTAATTATGTACCCTAAATGTATATCCCGTCTTCAGTTATGATTTTCAAAGCAACGATGCAAACAACAATCAGCTGTAACCTAACAACAACATATTGACACACCATGGCGTTTTTGTCAAATAGGAGTCAATGCTGTACAATGTGCAGGTGGGGTCAAAAGATGTCTTTCACCCCAATCCCAGAATAGCCCAGGGGTGAGGACAGCTAGATACAAATCCAGTAAGCACCTCAGAGGCCAACAAGACTTTCGGGATAAGAGATTTCGAGAGTCAAAGATGCCTTCCCCAAATGCAGGGCTATTTTTGGGCAGGAACGCACAGGAACGGAGTTCCGGCTGGCTCCCAAGTTGGCCACGCCCAGCAGGAACTCATTAGCATAATAGGCCACACCCAACAGCAGAAACTCATTCGGATTGGCTAAAATTAGGGGTGTGTGGCCGAACATGCAAAAAGCCCTGGGTTTTGAGAACAAACAAGGAAAAAGAGAATAAGAAGCAAAAGGTGGGTGTGGCTGGACGACCACACTTCTGGTAACATGGGGGTGTGGCCTAATATGCAAATGAGCTGTGCTGTCAGGGTGTGGCCTAAAATGCTAATGAGTTCCTGCTGTTGGGTATGGCCTATTATGCTAATGAGTTCCTGCTGGGCTTTTTCTACAAAAAGAGCCCTGCCCAAATGCATATCTGACAAAGGGAGCTTTGACTCTTGAAGGCTCGTTTCCCGAAAATCTTGTTGGTCTCTGAGGGGCTGCTGAACTTGAATCTTGCTCTTCTCTACTGCAGACCTACATGGCTTCCCTCTTGTTAAATAGTGGGTTCCATGGATGAGCAGGCTCGAGTCTAGTGATCAGCTCTACTTTATTAGTGATTTCAGCAAGCGCAAGAACAAGACTCCAGAGCCTCAGCTCTGTTAAATAGCATGCAATTGCCACACCCAAACACACCCTACTCCCAGTGATAGGCTATTTACAGAACATTACTACTAGATACTTTCAGAATCCTGGTAGGCTAGTGTTCTTGCGCTTCAAGCTCAGCCAGTCTTTGGGGTGATTCAATCACGGGTGATTCAATCCCAATACATAACTGTTGGGTATTACAAGTTGAAAACACTCAGTACGTCTGGGGTTAAATGTTTGTTTATGTTACTCACAGGAAGTCACATGTTTCTCATGTAACCAATGTTCTTTAGATGTGGATTGCCCGGGAATTTTCTCCCTGATCTAGGGATTTGATTGGGACTAAAGTGTCAAGGTATATTACCATTTTATGGCTTCTCTTCCCGTCTTTGTTTGCTGTTCTGAAGAAGAAGAAAGAGCAGCCATAATTGCTCTCTTCTAGTTTTGTCTTTGTAGTGTAAGGATGTAGCCGATTATGCTCTTTGTTCTTTTCATCCCAGTTACCCTTTCCCATGCTAGAATTTAGTAAAAACTTTATATTTTAATCACACATGAACTCTGAGTCTGAATTATTTTATTCAGGCTCTGCTGGGCTATATTATCTCTGCTAAATACCATTTTTTTCAATATCTCACTATCAACCAACAATAACACCTCTGAAACTAGGGAGGAGAGTAATGTGTTTGTGTGCCCTGTGCATGCACGTGTGCGCACGCACACAGAGAGAAGTGCTTAAAATCTGCAAGCCATTCCTCCACACACATCCCATAACGGCGAACATTTTGTTAGCAGAGACAGTCTTTGTAACTAATGGGTATAGTAGCTGTAATCCTGATAATCCTAACCCTGTGAGCCTAATACCTCTGCCTTGGGAATGAGCCCCACTGAAAGCAGTGAGGCTGACCTTCTGAGAGAACGTGGCTCAAATCCACCTGCAAGAGCATCCAAGTTTCACTAAAACAGAAGAAAAGCAAACAATAAAAAGGGGCCCTGTCTACAAATAAGCATCATTTCATAAGCGTTGTCATGGGTTTGGGCCAGCTGATGATTTGGCGTAAATTAACAGAGATTAAAGACAGGAGAGGGGAAAGTTCTGCCGGCTGTAATGCTAACCAGATAGCATCACACCTGACTCTTAGCATCTTCTGCCTCCTTTACTGTAACCCATCTCAAAACTCACAGCTGCCCCCTCGAGAGCGGTGTGGCCAGTTTCCAGGGGCAACCCAGACCTCTTCTTGATCTCTCTTGATCACACTTTCATTAGGCCAGAATGACAGAACAACAGACCACGAGACCCATGGTTCTTCATGCCAAAGATGCCCATGACGGTCAGCTCTCATTCTGGACTAAGCACCAGCATTTGGAAGTGTTAGA